TTGTAGTACAGCGTTATAAAGAGAGCATATCGTTAAGAGATTATTCACAATGCTACCTTTCAAATATTCTTATCAGATAAGAAAATGAAAAGAGAGGAGATGCATTTTCGGAAGAAAAACACATACATTTACCTTTCTTATCGATTTTTAAAGTCATAAGATTTATTATAGAATTCATATTTTTCATATGACATAAAACATGAAACAATGTTTCATGTAAACATAAACATGAAACAATTTTACATTACATTGATATTACTTAGGTTTAACTGCAACTTTTCCATCGAATTCATTGAATTTAACAATTTCAATTAAACTAGCAATAAACGTGAAAGTTATAAATGAAATGAAATTAGAGGTGACTAATGTAACATATTTATATTACAATCTTATATTGCGTCAAATTTGTACTGTCATCAATGAAAACTATTGACTCGTTCTCGTAAGAAACATCGTAAAGACGTCATGTGATGCTGACATTGATCAACGAAGATTCATTCGTAGTGACTCACATCTCGTGTGATGTAGGCAATTTAGTTATCGCTACTTAAAACAGGTGTGGCATGTGGAAATTCCGTTTCGCTATTAGTCAGTTTTTAGCATCTCAAGTCAAAATTTGTCTTCTTATTTTTCTTAATTTCATTATGAGATTATTCTTATCAATTATTCTATTAAAACATTATTATTATTATTTAATATTATATTATTTGTTACACAATACTTCGTGAAAACGCTAAATCAATGCGATATAATATTGATATTATTCACATAAATAAATATTTTATATATTTTAATAAATCTATTATCGTATTATATTATTATGTTATGCGTGACAGTATCATAACAAATATTTATCTTAATTTTCCAATATATTTCATCGCGCGAAATACATTTTGCATAAAAGACCTTTTATCACGAATGTTTGAATTAACCCTGTATAATATTCTTAAATACGATTAGTGAATTAATCAATAATTGTATAATTTATATTGCATGCATTTGAAATGCATGAAAACGCATGCAAAATTCTACGTGAGATTTTATAGAAATGGATGACAACACATGCAACGTTCCTCTCTGTCTGATGTTCCCATAAATTTTTCCAACTGTTCGACAGACATAGATAGCGCGATGAGTGTGAGATACATTATCGTTATTCTCGTTTCTCAATTTCTAGCATTTCGAGACATTCTGGGGAGACGGCGTGAAAAAGAGAATAATATAATGGGCTATGGTCCTTGGAGGGACCGGTTGACGTAACCGGTCCACTATTTTTAACCGCGTCCTTTTGTTTTATTTTTTTCTGGCGCTTTGGTCTTCATTCCCGTCTTTGCATTCTCCTTCCTACATGTCTGAATAAAAAAAACGTTTTACTTCTTTTTGTATATCACTCGAAGACATTTAAACTGTTGAAAGGACAGGTATATATAGACTTATACACCAATGGTTTAAATTTGTATTATAACTGGCATGTTATACGTAAAACAATGCGTTTACGAACTTTTAATTACTGCTAATTATTAACAAAGAAAATTTATTGAATGTTTAATAGAGAGCTGCTAAAAGCTAGAGTTGTTTTTATTTAATTATGTTGTACACAAATACTTATGAACAACACTGTAAATTTGTAATAAACGCTTGATAAAACATTTCTGCAAGATGTTGATCAAAAATAGCCGGAATGTTTCGTTTAAAAACATTAGTCAGGAAATGAGCAACGTGATATAAACAACCGTCTGAAAAATCTGACGGATAAATCCAAGAATATTGCATGAACATAGAAATACGATTTCCTCGGAGGCGAGATCAGTCAGAGAGAAAGGAATTTGTCATTTGCAAGATAGCTTTAGATATAACTAATATGCCACCTGTGTGGCGACCGTTATACGATGAATACAAACGAAAGCCTCGCGTCCACAAAGAGTCCATTTGCGAAGAAAATGCGTGGAATTTCTGTGAATGTTAACTATGTTCACTTACTACTGCGTGCGAATGTTAACTATGTCAACTTACTACTATATTATCTAATTATAAAACTAAATTTAAAAAATTGATTTTTATTCGTTGGAAATTTCCAAGAGAATTTTTTTATAAAAAATAATTATTTTTATTTCCACAACGTGACCAATAATGAGCGTTGCAGCTGTGAAGTTTGTGTTTTCGAAGAATTATTTCATTCTTTTTTGTTTTCTCTTTCGATAATTTTTCTTATTTAAAGAAAATATAATTATTTCAAAAAATAGTTTGAAATATAAACAAAATTATTATAAAATTATAACATATTTCTAGAACATATTAATGATAAAATAACATTGATAATAAAATCATATGTGAAAGCAAGAATAGCAATAAATGTGATTAGAATATTTTTCATTAGTCATTGATTTCTTTTTACAATATCCTCAATAAAATTGCGATTTGAAGTACGAAGTTTTCGGAAAAAATATAGAAGATACAAAGCTATATTTTCTTGCTGAAAATCGTATCAATATTCTTACATAATCAATATTCTTACTATAATTACATACATTCCGTTATATTGTCATTTTGTTTGATAATCCATTATTTATTGAAACTAATAATAAAAATATTGATAAATAAATGTTGCGTACGTCTTTCTTGTCTCTTTAATTTATTTTAGATCCACTTTTTAAAGTTTAATTCCGTTTTTTATTTATTTCAAATCCACTTTTTAAAATTTAGAAATTAGAAATCCAATCCTATGCTTTTAATTATGTAACACACGAAGTGTGTTTTTTTAAAAAATCGGGATGCAGTAAGACATAAGAGTATATAAAGTACATATTAAAACATAATAAACGCGTGTGAAAAGATTATAGATAAAACTCTAATTTGAAAAATCTTGAATCAAGAGTGTTCAAAACGCCTTTAACTAACCTCGAGCGACTGACAACAAGAAAGAGAAAAGAGAAGGAGAAGAGAAAAGAAACAATTCTGAAATGCCGCGTTGGCGCGTACGCACCCGCGAGAGGGATGACAGCCGTTCGGCCGTCACCGCCGGCGCTCGGCGATGCTCGGCGCCGCTCGGCGGCGCTCGGTAGCGCAGCTACACCGCCCGGCCAGTCAGTCCCGCGCATGTCCTCGGAGCGAGAGGGTACGTTTCGCGTCTTGTCGTATCTCTCCGGAGCTTTTCTACACGATCACAGGAAAGATTTCTCAGGAGCTCCGGACCTTTGTTGCGACGCGTACGTCGGCCTTCGCGTCGGTGCCACGGCCGCGTGTTCGGCGAGTATCGCGAGTGGAGTCAATTTCGCTGCAGTGTCGAAAACCGAACGAACGGTAGAGGGAAAGGGACGCGCGAGAGAAAGAGAAAGGGGGAGAGAGAGAGAGAGAGAGAAAGGAGAGAATCAGCGAGAGGAGGACAGTCGGAGTGCGGCTCGTGATCGATCTCACGGTGTGTAACGTCAAGGTGTTTTCCTTCCGCGGTCTCCCGTCGCCGAGATCTCTATTATGTCACCGGCCACGCGTGCCGGCAGATCGCTCTGATTCGAGGAACTCGCAAAGGACGCAAGAACGCCCGCCACGATGCTGCCGCAGACACCTGACATCATCCCGACTACGCTGAATCAGGTAAAAGCGACGTCGGCCAGCGGTGGGGCGATGTGCTCGTTAAACCGGAGACGCCGGTCACGTTGCTTGGAATTTCGTTACGTCCGAACTTTCCGCGGACGTCGAAAAGCGATCCGCGTGCGGCCGTGTGACGATTTTTGCGCGAGCCACTCGCGACCGAGCGCATCTCCGGCGACCGAGGCGGGTCCCCGACGGCGGCGTCATGGAGCATGTCCTTCGGCATTTCGAAAGTTCTGACGCACGCGAACGCGAAGCGGAGATTTACCTTACGACGCGAACCTCAGATCTCGCGTCGATCCTTCACTCGCAACGAAAATTATTATTTAATTTATCTTTTCATGCGCTTTGCCCGTTTTTATTCTTTTTTTTTTTAATTTCGTACATTAATCAACGTAGTAATAAAAGATTTGATTGCTACGAGATAATAATTAAAGGAATAACGTCAAGTCAGAAAACGGCGGGTAATACACTTCTGTCCGCGTTCGCGACGCCGAGAATCGGACTCGCCGGAAGTAAACCGGTTCCAAAATGCCCGACTCGATTTTCCAGAATTATCTTCACGTTACGCGTTGCATTTCGCAAAGGACACCTGAGGAAGAGATACCTAACGACCTATTTCGCGTGGGAATAGATTATCTGAATTCGGCAATTTCCCGCGGTTAAATTATTTCACATCGTTTCCGTCTCGCTACAGGACGGGAATTAAATTAAACCGGGACGAGGGGAGGAGGAAGGGGCAGGCGAGTATATATACGGTGTTCAAAGCTCCGTTATATAGACGGATTATGTGCGTTCCGCGCGGCAGAAATTGATTATCCTTGGTATCCTGTCGTGGCTCGGCCGAGTCCGGGCAAAGTGATCGTCTTAAGATCTTAAGATCTAAATCGTCGACCGGATCCCGGCGATTCCCGGAGAGAAATAACATCCGATAGCGCAAACGATATTTGCAAACGATACGGCCGCGCGAACGTGACCGCATCGAAAGAGTCGCGCGTCTGAACTTTCACACGGTGAAGATAATATCTTTATTTTGACTTGTATTCTGGGAATTTTAATTAAAACTTTATCCCCCTGATTTTCGTCACGAATAAGTCTCTCGCGCGATCTCGTGACTTTAACTCGAGAATCTGATTTTCAATATTACTATTGCGATACGTCTCGAGAGATGCTGTCACGAACACTCTTGCGAAAATTCGCTTCTTTTAAAATGTATTTTTTTTTCTTTATTCGGATTTCTTATTTCCTTGTTTCCTTTGAAATAAATACGGTATTACATCTTGATTGTATAATATACTTTCAGTATTGTATATAAAAAAATTTTATAAAAGAATGAATATTCTAATAAAATACAAGTTTTTAATGAGGAATTATCAAGTTTATATTTTTATAGTTTTATATTTTGATTTTACATATTTTCAATACTTTAAAATAAGAAAAGACAGCTTGACCAGATTGAAATAAGTTTTTACATTAACTAATAGGCCGATAAACTTCCTTAAAATTAATTGATTTTTCATTTTAAAATATATAAAAATTCTTCTCATAAAAATTCTTATGTTAATAACTTGATGTAATAATATGCATTCATCTATGCATATAAATGAAGTCAATAACAATGTTGTTCGCGTTGAAAACATTTCGAGTATCTCTTTTGCGATCTTTCGCGAAAACTCGACTCGAGTTGCCAAACAATGTGTATGACAGCTTACATGTCACTTCGAATGATGAAAAGGGAAAATAGGAAGAGGTAGACGACATGATCGATAATAATAATAGGAAGGTTTCGTGAAGGTCTGCTCGCGGCAGACGACGCGACATTGACAACATTGACATTTTATCATATAAAGTGGCTCGAGTGGTTTATCTTCCTTTGTGCTATCCTCTTACGCGTGATATAATCGATCGCAAATGAAGACCATATTAAAAAAAAATGTCTCTCCATAATAGGAGTATCTCTTTGTGGCATTGAATTTTCAGGACAGTTACGTAGAAATAAAAGGTGAAATTAGGAAATGTATATATCAATTCCATAAAAAAAAACTTTTGAATCTCTCTTTCTTTCGCTTTTCTCTCATTCTTTAGAACTTACATGAGATTTATATTTTTGATTAAGTTTGAAACTGCCAGTTAAAAGGAGCAGAAACAGAATGTAATTTTCAAGTAACTTATCGAGCTTCAACAGGTGGATCGTAAATCGATAATTCCTCTTCAATAAATTGTTTAAAGGTGACGCGAGATATTCTCTCGTAGTAGAGATTCATCGATCATCATTGCTGAGTCTATTCTTATGTAACCGGGATTTTACGAGATATCCGTCGCGCGATTTATAAAATCGATTTGCACAATAATTACGTTTTGAATAATAATCGCGCGACTGAAATCCGCTATTGAACGTCGAATCGAATCAACCGCACCGAAATTGCTGTAATCATCGCAAAACAATTGCGGCATACATTTTTCGCATATCGGTATGTCGATATTTCGAAATGCCGATCGGTTGTCCCAGATCGAGTTTCACTAGGTCAAAAATTAAAGCCAGTCGTGTAATAATGTGACGTAACGTATCCACGTGCAACATGTAAAATTCATTTCTATAAATCTACTATTACTCTTTCATTTCCATTTCTACCATACAACATAGATTGATTTCAGTCTCGTTTTAATTTAATTCTAAGAATTAAGCAAAAATGAAGATAAAAATAAATTAAATCGAGATTAAAGTCAATCTGATAGAAGTGGATATTAATCCACAAAAATTCTCTTTAATCATAAAACAAATAATTGATCTAATCGATTTTTCAAAAACCAACTTTGACCATCACTGATAAAAAATTTATGTCATAAATTAAAAAAAAAATATTAAGCAATAATTTATTAATAGATATGAAGAAGAAAGTTTTGTTGTAAGTAGCGTCTTATCTTTTAGGAGATAAAAATTATTGCTGAACTACATTTTAAGAAACAGCCCTGACCATTATCGATGACGTCATAAATTTGAAGGATATTATAAATAATAATTTATTAATAAAGATGAGAAAAGAGATCTTGTTATAATTATAGCCTCTATCTTTTAAGATAGAGATAAAATTATTGCTAAGTGAAATTTTAATCAGAGTTACAAACTTCTCGCATGAGAGGACTGGGGTGCTGATTATCGCGCGAGTGGCATTGACTTTTCCGCGTATTCCTGATGACTCGAGAGAAAAGGCACAGCCACGTCTCACCGCGTCTGTTTGCCCACGTATGATTTCGTCGTAGGTGCCTTCTCTTCCGAGACCGCGCGCCGCTCAGGTTTATCGTTCGTGGAAGGTGCGTGACGTACTTCTCGAGAGAATTCCTGAGGCGGGCTTTATCGATTGTTTCGAAAGCCAATGTTAAACAAGGCGACACCTCGTGCAGCCCCCCCCACCCACACACACACGACACACTACTCGCTGGAGATATGCAATCGCGCGGAACGTAATAATTATCCCGTTGAGTCATCGCCGGGCGATTTTTCGAATTTTTATCGAAGGATATTATTATTCTTTCACGTGTTAAATTTTACGAATTGATATGCCGGAGTAGATATAGTCTGACGGAGATTCCGTCATCCTCGCGTTCATTTCTATCGGTCGTTACACTTATTTACAAACTATAAAATTATTATTGCTTTGTTATAGCACGTAATCGATGACGCGAACTATTTCTGGAACCAGTCAAGTTTCTTTCATTTAATGACGATCCCTGATAAAGTTGTTAGACAAACGAAGCCTGGCGGGGGGCGGGATTAGTCCCTCGCGACCACTCCCATGTTGAAAATCAAGAAGATGATATTTTCAGAAACGATTAAGTCAACTGCTTAGCGCGGTATCAGCGCATCGCAGTGATAGCGTTACGCTCACCGTTGGCATTCTCCTCATCGCGCGATTCCGTCATGCGTGTTCTATGCAAATACCGCTTTATGCAAACGACATCGATGCCACGGTCTTCACAGAAGCTGTCACGGGCAAGTCAACCTCACAGCGAATAATGCATTGTTGCGAGATTAAACGCGTCGCCGGAATTAAATCTTTTCTGACTGGAAACGTGCGGGAAATTCACGAATTTGTAATTTTCGTTTATAAACGGCAAAAAGAAAAACAATAACATATAATACGATATGCATGAGATCTTTTAATCTGAAAATGGAGCTACGGACAATTGAGGACAATATTATTATTAAGAATTTTGCATATCGGAATGAATGAATAAAGATTGCACAATTAAGAAATGCAAATGGGAATATCGAATAATGTTGTATCGAAACGTATATAGCAAATAAAAAATATAATATATAATCTATATTATTACAATATTATTATGTAACGCTAAAGTTATAATTGTCAGAGCTTACAGATTTTATCTTTATTTTCTCCCTTTATTTTCTACCTTTATTTTCTACCTTTATTTTCGCAAGGAAAAATAATAATTGCTTCACTTCGCTTAGCTTTTCTTAAATAATTGTGAGAAATAAGAAATGATATTTCAATAATACAAGCCGCGTGAGAAAAAAATCCAGGGTCGCTTGCTCGGTTAGGAAAGCGAAGAATAGGGAATTTAATGATCGCGGATCTGATATCTTCCACGCGCGTTGTTCCGTGTTGATGATCACCGTGTTGATATCACGTTATGCGTTGATATCATCGCCGAACTTTCCAACACGTACATTGTCATTTATGCAATATAATGAATCACCAAATAAGGCAAATGTCAAAATGCCAATGTCAAAAAATATTCTTGCCTCGAGGAATTTAATTCCATACACGTTCTTTCGCAAACACGTCTCATCTTATTATTATAATCACAAAAATCGAAATGAAATTTTATGAAGAAGAGGTTGAAATGTATATATATATATA